TTTAGTATGAATATGTAGAAACATAACATTGGACCTTTTATTCCTCGTCTGGTTGCACAAAGGGGAAATATATGCATATTCATCCAATTTACTTTGAACTCTAAAGAAATGTAGTTAAAAATGCTATTCTAATATCACCTTCATTATGTACAAGAAATTACAAATTTAATTAAATACTCCGTTGATATCCATGAAAAGTAATCTAATAACTAATTAATCATTCACAAATTCAGGCAAAGGAGTGGTACCGGACGAATCAGAGTATTGCGTGTCGACTGCGCGCACGCAAGCTCTTCTAAAAGCTGACGTCATCCTGCTACTGGGTGCACGACTCAACTGGATGCTACATTTCGGACAACAGCCACGTTTCGCACCCGATGTCAAAGTTATACAGGTAGTGTACAACCAATATAGGTAAACTAGCTTCCGCGTGGTATGGTGATAAAACGTAGCCTATGTCCTATTCCGGAGTTATATAGGATACCCTATGTCTGTGCCAAATTTCATCCAGATCCGTCCAACCCACGGAGTAAGAACAAAGAGGAGACGGCATAAGCAACTCGGCCCTGTGACACAAGTCGGCCCTCACGTCATCAATGTGGGCGTGGCTTATGTCAGTGTAATGTGGTCGTTCGTCATGTGCACAACTCCTATAAAACATTCATTTTACTCGTGACAGAAGAAAACAAAATGAAGTCTTGTGTTTTATCTTGTAAAAAATACTATGATAAATGTTACGGTGCTATGGATGGCATCACTTTTCATGTATAAGTTATTTTATTCGTCATTTATTAAAATAGTTCTAGCAAAGTCTCTTATTGTCAGCGTTTCCAATTATCAATCTACGCGACACTAGATGTCGACACTGTGTATCATAGAAACAAAATTTTTATAGGTACGCATAGTTCAGTATTAGTATACTTTAATGCTCGTTTGTATAGTAATTTGAACGACATGCATTCCTAAAGATCCTTTAATCGCCAAAATATTATTTATGTAACTTTTATATCATTTTATAAACAGACAGCCATCTATTGTCAAGTAGTAAAACATAAATAAAGACAGGGTAGTAATTAGGAGTCGATTACTTTTTAAGGTTTATATCGTTGATTTATTTAAGTCGCGAATGGAATCACTCAAATTTAGCGCACCTCACCGCACGCTGTGAGTGCTAAATCTTAGTGCCTGAGTGTTTGAAACTGAACGACCTTATTTATACTTCTAAAGTTCCTCTTCGGTTTTTATTTCAACCCCAAATTAAGGGCATCAGGACTTGGATCATACAACTCAGATATGTATCGCCGGTAAGCCTATGAAATGCCCACAACATACTCTGTCCTTCGTACATATCATTCGTTCCATTGTTCGTTTATTTCGAAATATGTCGTCACATTAGGGCAGGTTTTGTTCGTTTTTCATGGTGAATAGTATCTATGACAGTCGTGAAGATAATTAGGATGTGTTATATATGGCATTTCGCATTAGGATGTGTTATATATGAAGAATCTGGCAGTATTATTAACTTTGGAATAGCATTTAACATACCACTAGTTAATTAGATGTTATGTTCGTTATTGTTCCAAAATATTGTTGAGTTATTGTTTTGTGTTTTTATGATCCAAAATATTGTTGAGGTAAAACCAGCGAACACGTAATGCAAATTAACACGATTGCTGCTACATTATTAGAAGGTGGTAGGGCCGCACACTCTTCATTAGCATTGCTATTGAATGTACAGGTGATTTAAAGTGCAAATTGTAATATTTCGAGAAATTCTGCTATGGCAAAAGTTTTGCAACTAACGTCAATTATTATATGGGATGCACACATACAATGGCGAATAAAAAATCAATAGAAGCATTTAATCGAACCATGCAAAATTTACACGGTACTCAACGGGTTTTTCGTGGTGCTCTGATATTGCTGTCAGGGGGCTTCGTCAAACATTGCCTGTCATTCCTCGATCAACTCCTGCTCATGAAAAACCTGTTTGAAGTCATCAGTTATTTGGAGATATATACGAAAATTGACACTGAACTTTAGTAATAATGCGTATTCAGCTACGTAATGATGCAACTGCCAAGAGTTTTCAAAACAATTATTAGAAACTAGCTTTTGCCCGCGACTTTGTTCGCATGGAATAGTGAATTCCTGTAGATTTTGGGTTTAAAAACTATCCTGTGTCCTTTCTCGAGTTCCAAACTATGTCTGTACCAAATTTCACTCAAATAGGTTCAGTAGTTTAGGCGTGACGAAAAGACAGAACATATCTAATAATAACACTCGTTATCACAAAGAACCAGTTATCAGCAGGGCATCAGCCTCTTGGTAGCATTGTATACGAGTTTCTGCTTCAGGCTAGGCCCGTAACGAAATAACCCCTTTTAAATGAAAAAGATGGTTTTGATAAATGTAGAATGATTCTCATTCACCAATAATAGATATTTATTACTATTTCGATAAAAAAAATGAGTATCAAGATGATTCGCAAATGTATTTACAAAAAACTTTTTAAAATAACTCCCCGGTAAATTCTAAGTACGACCCTGTTGCGTTAGTGACATCTATTGTGAAATAGTTACATAACTACAAAAAGAAGTAAATTGAATGAGCGAGTAGTATTGCTATAGACCGGCAGATGGCAAATAAAAAAGTGGGCGGAGTCTAATACCCCGCAAAATATCACGCGGTGTTTCTTAGGGAAATCTAATTATGACATCTCCTCTTTGTTCTTACTCCGTGGTCCAACCGTTTTGGCGTAATTGAGTGACAAACATCCAAACATCGTAACTTTCGCATTTGTAAAAACAGGATACAACAAACCCAAAAGACTGTACAATTGGCGGTCTTATGGCTAATAAGCAATTTCTTCATCGTATCTGCTCATTTACTAATTTTCTTTTAAATACTGTAATCGAACTAAAATAAAATTATAATAATATTTTGTACCAGGTCGACATAACCCCTGAAGAGTTCCACAACAGCATCAAATCCGAAGTGGCTGTCCACTCAGACATCAAGCCATTTGCTGCGGCCCTCACACAGAAACTAGCTGAGAAGAAATTCAGTCTGCAGCCTGCTAGCAATAACTGGTGGCAAGGACTCAAGCAGAAACAGAAGGCTAACACAGAGTTTGTTCAGGTAAAACTATTGTACAATTTACTTATAGATATGTATATCGAGTAGTGATGTCCGCGAATGTAAGTAGTATGTTGATAAAGAGCAGCCCATGTATTAATCCTGGGTATCACCTAGATACCGTATACCAAAATACTATATACCTATATTTCAACCAATCAGTCTAGCTGTATTTGCGAGAAAGAATAAGTAACATACATCCTTTCATTCCCACACACTTTCACATATTAGCAGGTTAACAATACTAATAGGATAGTAGGATGGTAATGAATTGTCATTGTACTTATACAATTTGATTGATGTTTTAAATATATTTCGCCATAAACCACTCTTTCGAGTATCATCTCGGTCTCCACATCGCAATTTGATCGGATTTTCTCAAAACTAAGTCACACTTACATGGTTGTACAACGATATACTTTAAAAAAATAATATAAAAAGCTAATAACGTATTTTCTTTGTACAGTCTCAAGCAAACAACAAGACATTGCCACTGAACTACTTCGCAGTGTTCAAAGCTGTTCAGGCAAACATTCCTAAGGACTCAATCATTGTAAGCGAAGGCGCGAACACCATGGACATCGGTCGTGGAATGTTACTGAACAACAAGCCACGACACAGACTCGACGCTGGTACCTTCGGCACCATGGGAGTAAGTTGAATTCTGACCATTATTAATAGAAAAACGACTTGAATTTATTGATGTTGTTCGAATTTAAACTCATCTCGACATAGGTGCATCGCATTACCTATTATCTAGAAAAAATATACATCTCGTTTAATCGGTCTAAATAAAGATTTGTCTTTATTCAAGGTGGGCCCCGGATTTGCTATTGCCGCAGCGATGTGGTGCCGCGACTATGCACCGGGAAAACGTGTCATTTGCGTTGAAGGCGACTCGGCCTTTGGCTTCTCTGGTATGTTTTCATTACATGTAGAATAATGAAAACAATGATTAAAAACTCGCCTCATGTTTTAATACTAACAATATTGTCAAGGAATGTCAATAATTACGTTACAATATCGATTATTATGAATGCATTAACCATTATATCCCGAGTCATAAATATGCCGTATTGATTTTCGTATAATATTTCACAGGCATGGAGATCGAGACTATGTTCCGCTACAAGCTACCCGTAGTTATTGTCATTGTAAACAACAGTGGCATCTACAGTGGCTTCCCTAAAGATGTCATGGAAGACATCCAGTCAGGTGGCGACATCACACAGTGGTAAGTTTATACGAATTTAATAACATCAAACATGAATTGCATATTGATAAAGATTGTTTCATAACATTTCAATCATTTTCCCAGCACTCCACCCACTGCTCTCAGCTGTGAGATCAAATACGAAAAGATGATGGAAATTTTCGGCGAGAGTGGTCATCTTTGCCGCACTGTTGAAGAAATAGAAGCGGCACTAAAGAAAGCTTTGGCAGTCACTGACAGACCCAGTATCATCAATATACTTATTGACCCATCATCCAATAGGAAGCCACAAACATTCAACTGGCTAACCGAATCTAAACTGTGATATGGATTTATATAATTTTAACATAATTTACATGCACATTACAAACAGGGTGGTGGGGACAATGAGTTTCTAATGAACTGCCTTCTATGTATAACATTCTTATTGCATTTATTGTGATATGTATTATTTTTGTTTGAATTGAAGTGGCTTTAATGTTTATAAAAATGTATATACTGTATAGTTATGCTGTTTTAAGGTACTTAAATAAAACCAACATGGACATTGATATTGTCTGTAATTGAGTCATACTTATTTATGGTCACATTGTTGTAATTGTATATAATGAACTTAAAAATATATATAAATTTACATTATAAACTAAATCCCTGTATTTTCATTTAACTCCTGGAGGCAAATGAATCTGCTGTCTTGGTTGTCCAGAGCAACATAAGATGAGCAGAAATTGTATAAGTAATAGTATATTATGTTTACATTTTGCTGAGGCAACCAATCAAAAAATTCTCTATCACAGTTTGTGCTGGAAATAAGAAAACAAAGTTATTAGTAGAACAGTTTCACAAACTTATTCCATCAACTTGTTGTGAACATATTTACCCAGTTTGCAGTTATTGGTAGTGGTCAGTGTGTAAGCATCTTGGTCATAATCATTGGTAAGAGTGAGATCAGCTCCTCGAATAAGAAGCTCGTTGCAAGTGTAAGGAAAGTCAGCCGCTGCTGCATACATCAGTGCTGTGCTACCAGACTGAAAACAAATACACAATAAAATAATGATGGCTAAAAGCATAAGTTTAGCCACTTTCACTATGTACTTACATCATCCTGTATATCAGCATCAGCTCCTTCATTAAGTAGAAACTTCACAACCTCATGGTGTCCCCCCGCAGCTGCCAGGTGTAGTGCCGTTTCCCCCTCCGGGCCCCGCATGTTCACATTGGCACCACACCTAGTTACAACAAATGGCTATATATAGATGCAAACCCAACACTTATCCAATTATTAGTAACCACACACTTGTAAAGATCAACGTTAGATAATGTTTTATCCTTATAACTCACTCCCTTTGTCCCATACTAGCAAAATCAATCTTCCTACACACAAAGAACAAAGGATGTGGATGGTAAAAACTTGCACTCACCACACCAAATCCTGGCAGCTGTTTAACTGACCATAGCTGGCTGCCCAGTGCAGGGCAGTAAGTCCATGCTCATCAGTGATGTCAACATACTGCTCCAGTTTCACGTCGTCACGAGTTATTTCTCCGCGACCTGCCTTAGCGTGTAAGCTACAATCTGGCTGGGGCAACTCCGGGACTCGCGCCTGCGTATTACCTGCAAAAGCGACCTTGAATGTTTTACCTACTTCAAACCCACAAAGAAACTGCTAGAAATCGATAGATCTAGTCAACCTAACAGAAAAAATACACACTGTCATTGACGTACCTCTCTGTAAATTGGTTAATGCAGTACACTGCACAGATTTGTACGGCGTAAATGCGCTTTTTCTTACACCATTTAAATTGGGCGCCCATCGTTGATAGCCCCCGCTTCCACTTTTGCTGCTATCCTGACTTCCCGAATCATATTCGAGCTTATAAGTCTCCAAATTTTCTTGTTTTTCTTGCTTTATATCAAGGTTTTTGCCCTCATGCTTGACAGAAACGGCTTCTTCCATTTTTTAGATTGTTTTGTATTTTTAATCAACAACACAACAAAGAGACAGACGGAACGGAACGGATTACTGTTTTGACAGTTAGTAATGTCATGTTGGCAGCATTGTATCTGCCACTGAAATTCTATGCAAGTTCATTGATTAGATTGCCCAAAGACCTTATACTCTAAACTAGACTGTGCACTAAGGCGCAAAAACCGAGCCGGTGCGAGACAGCTCCCGATGGTAGTGTGTCCCTTTCTAATGTAGTGACCATGACCAAACAGAATACATTGACATTTGAGGGAATTCCTCAACGATTTACAGCATTCAAAGCTGACTAACTCAGGACTATTATTACCGTGATTTTCGGTCTCAAATAGCCGTCATCTTCTCTTTCGAGAAGCATGCTAGCTTTTTCTGCCTATCACTTAAAATGGTAAAATAAAATATTTTTTTACAAAAAAACCGACTTCCAAAATAACTAAACTAAAAAGAAAAAAATAAATTTTGGAAGTCGGTTTTTTTTTTTGTTAAAAACTACTTTTTTAAGTCTACAGAACCTGTAAGTAAAGTAAGTAAGTAAGTAAGTAAGTATTTATATAGTAATCTGTACACGTGGGTAAGGGTTGAAAGTACTTTTTTCTACTTTTAAAAGTGATATATTCCCAACATCATATTAATATTACCTACAGAAAAATGATGATTTCGGCGAGGGAATACACCGTGAGGTTGGCTGAATGTTTAACCATTATCCGAAAAATTTGTCTGATTCCCCTTGTGGCTACGAAAGTCAGATGGCAATCGCTTTACTGTAATTATTAGACTCGCCACTCCAAGATCGTATTCGGCGAACCTTGGCAAGCTTCTAGGTGAAAGCTTAGCATATGTAACCGGGATAACATTTGCTAAGATGATGAGGAGGAATATTATTAAATGACTGTTAGGGCAAATAAATGTGATGCAGTATTGTGGAATGAAAAAGACTGTTTTCTTTTAATATTGATTTACTTTTATACATTGCTGAACAATACAGTTTTACGCAATTTTTGTCATAATGTAGCCCTATTTCCTACATGCTTGAGGCTTAAAGTCTTCCCGTAGCTTTTATGTCTTAAAATTATTTTTTTTTAATCAATACATTAAATCAGTTCCAATTCGTGGGATTCGTCAGATGCTGGATGGGCAGGCAAAAGGTGCTTAATTTTAGGGGTGAATTGATGTACTATCATATTAAGCATTTATTTATATTCAAGCTCTGTAAATCAGGAGAGATTACCAAAAAAAGTTTTTCTATATACTTTACTACATTGAACACATGTTGAAGCCTCAGATTAATATAATTACAATTTTGTTTTCTGACAAGCTTGGTAAGCATTATTTTTTACATTACTTTATCTAATTCTATAAAACATTCAAAAATTCTATTATATAAGTAATTGTCAACAGTGCGAATATTTAAAGTAAATGTTTATTAAGTTTTTATTATAAGAAATAATGTATTTTAGGCTATATTTTTACTTTCTAAAAAACGGGGAAGGTGTAGTGTGTGAGATCTCTCCCCATAAGTAGTGTAAGTTATTAGGTATATACACTTAATTAAAGACGATCGTCCAGCTTACACGTCTCGTATTTGCTTCTACATTTCACCACATTTTAATGTAACACTTACTGGACGCTTATAACCTATTTACACTTGTTTACTTATAATATCATTGGTATCATTGGTAAGTTCTTTAAAATAATAAAATAAAAAATGAAAAGGACACAAAGGACAAAAACAGTTAGTCGTATCTTCTGCCTATCTACTGCGATATAGTAAGTAAATCTTTGATCGAGAAAATTCATTGTTACCCTAACCCGAAATCAGCAAACCGCCATCTTGCATTAATTGTTACCAAACACAAACATTCAAGTACTACTGTTTACTCTGTATTAATGATTTTTCGTATAATACCGCAAATTGACTATTAATTATAAGGACTATAAAGACATTTATATACGTTTTGTAGTTTATGAATTGTTTGTTTTGTTAAAACATAAAACATAATTATATTTAATTTTCTACCATTTCTACCAACCCCTAAGGTTAGTTGTGCTGGCAAGATGTGAGACAAGGACACACTACCGTGAGGAGCCCTCTCGCCTGGACCGGTTTTAGTTTGTTAACGCTTTTAAGAAAATAGCTACCCTATACATAACGGGATAAAGCACATTTTAGCTAAACAAAAAAAATTTGGTGCACAGTCTAGTTTTAAGTACAAAGTCTTTGAGATTGCCTCGTAGGATTGCCTATAAACATTTTATTTAAGTCATATTTACGTACTATTCTTACACAATTGAAATTTAGTTTGTTTAACATTAGACTGGTGCTAAACTATGACTTAATGCAGTATGAAAATTTTCAAACTTTGGCCTTCTTTATCCATACCTTTCTACTTTTTATAGAACAGCCAGGCTTTCTATATTTTAAACCTCCCCAACGGTTACCTAAAGACTTGATTCGTTAATGATAATTAAATTAAGTTTTTAACTTAACGACTGATTCTGACGATATATTAGTGAGGTTTCAAGTCAAAAGCAAGTACTTAAAAAAAGTAAAACAGTCAAAGTGTCAATGTCACACGAATTTATATAAGTTTGAAAATGGTTTGAAAGTTTTGTATCAACCGCTTGATTGAAATATTATAGTTCCTTATTCATTAGGCAGGTGCTCAAATAATCTAACAAACTTGACAAGAATTATAAAAAAGTATTGCAACAAAAATGTCAGCATTGGGGAACCTTAGCCAAGGAAATCAACAACAAGATCTTCAAAATGAACTTACGACAGCCAATCAACTTCTAAGACTAATGTAAATATTTTTATTGCAATTTAATTATTTACCTAATTAAATTTATTTAATAACTACCAACATAAAACGTACTATACATTCTATATTGCTTTTGCTTTTATATATTGCCCAAATTCTGTCCTAGTACTTAGTTATTTCGCTAGTAGATTATAGTAGTAGATTATTTTTCTTAAATAAACTCTGATCTAGAGATCTAAAACAGATATAAATAACTGATTGAAATTTGCAGATCTGTAGAATTACAACAAATCAAACATTTGACCAACCCCGCAGGAGATTTTGCAGTTAATATAAAGAATGTAAGTTAAAACTAATACATTTGTCTGGCTATGTTTCGAAACAACCACTAAAACTTCTCACTAAAGCTTTACATTATTTGGATCTCAAAGGAGTGATATTTTTGTAATGTATTATTTTATTACAGAATGCAGAAATCATCAAAAAGCTAGCAAACCTTCAACAGGTAGACTTGGCGAATATACCCCCTTTTACTAGGAAATATATAGATCTGAATGAGAATGCAAACCAGAATGTTTCTTATGAGGAACACAATACTTTCAGAAATGAGTCTGAAATGGATGAAAGCCAGTGAATGTAGATGAATTTAAATAAGGGACTGAACCTGTTCTTAATCTCTTGACTGTTGCTAAGGAAAACTCACTAAAAATATATTCAGTCTTGCTTAACCTCCAGCAGATCACGGGTTAAAATAGCATAATTTCTGTGTGCTATTTTATTAATGTAATAATATAGTTATAAACCCAAAAGTGTAAGTTTATCGTTACTACAATTTTATTGTGTTAATATTGAACTACCAAATAATTTTCCATTTCAATTTATTCTCTTTTACAAAATGCTTACTAATGTAAGGAATATGTATGTACATATGCCTTACATTACATTCCTTTCGTTAGTAAGCACTTTGCAGCTAAATTGTGACTTTGTGAAAGACTGGTAACTGATGTGTGTAGCTGGAAAAAACCTGTATTACAGGTCACCAGGCAAACTAACAATTCAGAAAAATCTACTGATATGTCTTTTGATTCTTTAGTAAATTAAGTGGTATATCTCATAAGTTTGTTCTCATTTGTAATTAGTATTCACTATAAATAATAAAACACGTTTTATACATAAATTCTTTATTTATTTTGTGACTTATTTTATATTTCATCACAATTTTAACTTAGAATAAAATCTTTGTTAACAGGATAACATACCTATACAAGGCAACATGCATTAATTTGAGCTCTTAAATTAGGCTGTATTATGTAAGTTTTAATACTAGATCTGGGTAAATGTTAGTCTTAAAAGTCTTAGTAACAGTAATCAGAAATCTTCGGCCATCAAAGTACACACTTATAAGAACAGTTCAATAATTAACTAGTATCATTTAATTTATTTTAGATCTGAGTTAAATATATTTAGTACCTAATAATGGATCCGACATTGGCACACTCATATTATCTTTCATTCTTCACTTGCGTGAATTTCTTTCTCCACCTTCCATATTTTATAATTCATCTGCATCACACTTTTATTTACAAGTTTTATAACACTTAATAAAATACTTAATCTGAATCTCATAAGAGAGAGGAAAGTATTTATAAACGCAATTTATAAGTCCACAATATTCCTTCTCAGTAAAGCCATGGTAACAGCTTAAGACTAGATTAACTACAAATTTAACATTAAAAGTTATTGAAATATAGCTGCTTTTTCTTTGAATCTTTGCCTCCGCATCGCTTTTTCTTCAGCCTCGCGACGTTTTTCCTCTTGCTCTTGTATGATTTCGTTGTGGAACTTATTGCTCTTAGCGAGTTCCTCGATCTTAGCTTCAAAGAAAGTCTTGGCTCCGTTCACTCCAACTTGGTCCACGTTTATTTCTGTCAGTCGAGCAAATGCGTCTAAACCCGAGTCTGTCTCCAGCTCTCCGGCACGGGCTTTCCTGTAACACAAATACGGATATAACGTGAAAATGGGAACATTTTAAGACGGAATCCGGCGTTAAGGAGTTATGGGGCCATGGCCCAGGGCGACAAATTCTAGGTGAGGCCAAGGTCTGAAGTTGGAGTCTCTTGCCTCTCCTGTCCTGGTCCTCAGAACTGTGCTCTACGCTCTGTCTCTGTGCATATGCATATTATTTATTGAGTTTTTTTTAGATTATTTGAGTGTTTGTAGTCGAAGAGTGACTCTAACGATATGAATACGATCAGAAAAAAACTAACACTTGATATTGCTTCCCTCAAGTGGGCGCCACAACATTTTCGCCCAGGGTGTCAGTGGCCCTTTCACTGATTATTAGATTATTCTGATTAATTTCATACACCAATAGATTACTAATGAAAGTATGAATAGGCTAACATAATTCACAAACAAGGTGCCTGACTTTTTCCTTTTGTGGACACGGCGTAGTGCCTTTGGCAATTTCATTATTTTAAACTAAATACAGTGTGACTAAGTTTTTAGCTGGCACATATTGTGAGTCAACATATTATTACATTGCTATGACGCAGACAGCAGGTTCAGACAATTTAATGCGATTTATTACTATTTTTTTTATAATTTACTAGACTCGACTAGTCAGAAGGTTCTTTCCCATCTGGGTATTCCTTTCAACCCATTTAAGTTTCTACAACAAACAATATGATTTCAGCTATTGACTTTATTAATATGTTGATTTTCCCAGACATACCTAAATACATATTTACCTAAGTAGGTGTCCACATGAGTGGAGACGTTTAATATGTTTGCTATAGGTACTTAATCCATTTTAACCTTTTATTTGAGCGGGAAAACTAGCCAGTGACACGAGTGCCCACGTTGCGTGTGGGACAAACACTACCTACATATAAAAGTACTCTGTGGCAGACACTGATAGTACGTAGGTAGTGTTTATATGGATAGGTACTCTTTAGACACTGAATGAAATCTTATAGTTACTACGGTGAAAAAATAAGTGCCTACCTATAAATGAGTAAGAATTCTCGGAAGCTGATTCTGTTATCTCCATCCTCGTCAACTTCCGAAATCATAGCTTTCAGTCCGAGATGAGTCTGTGGTGCTCCCAAACGCTCCATCATTCGTTTGACTTCGGTCAAGTCAAGGTAACCGTCGCGACCTTCATCGAATCTGGAACAAAGAAAATAGTATTGATTATGTGCCTGCCCTTTATATTCAGCACTTACTATTTCTATATATTTTCTTTTTGGTAGACTTATTTATTGATACCATTCGTTTGTTATTCGTTTTTCAGGCCCTGCTTATATTGTTATTCATTATTCACTAAGATAAAACATACCTACATATCTACCTACTTAATATTTCATAGTCGCTTTTTGCCTAAACTACAAGAGGTCTTAGTTAAATGAGTCACCTGCGTTACCTAACAAAATAATTATGAAAACGAGATTAATGATTTTGTGCTAATCTCATGTCTCCTAAGTAGTTCTTATTTCTTTCGTATAACAGAGAACTACAGCTTGGCAAAAAAGAGTGTGGAATTAATGAGGTCACCAGTATCGCAACTGTGGCAACCCGGAATACTACGACTCGACAGATTTTGATACTTGTTATTTTTGAGAACATGATTTCAATCAGGATTGAATCCTAAGTGAGGGGTGCAGTCCTTTGAACGCTTTAATGTCCAGTATTAACAATGTTAATAGAGAACGCTTAAGCATTGTACGAAATCGGTTCAGACTTACTAGACCGCGCCACCACTCACATAAAGATAAAATGCCCCAAGGGCAATCTAACAGTGAGATTGTTGTTGTGCATCGAGATCTGGTGAATGTGTTGTTTGTAAGAAGCGCGCGCGACGCGGACGCAGAAATTTGGAAAAAAGAGCCATAAATTAACTAAAATTCGCGGGTTACTTACGTGTACATGTTGAGAAAAGCTCTACTAGTTTCGAACCACAGAGGGGTTCTTCCTCATGAGCAGCGTGCGCGGACGCGGCGACGTCGCGCAGCCTACTCCGTACACGTGAGTAACCCGCGAATTTTAGTTAATTTAGTATGTCTCACGATAGTTATTATAAAAACAAAAAGAGCCATGTACGAAATGCACATACGCCGTTCGCAAACGGCGCATTCGCCAGATCTGGACGCAACATTAGTAATTGACGAATAGTTTACAAGGATAATGAGTGAACACGTTTTGTTTGAAGTTTCAGTTTAATTAAAAACAAAAAAAAAAACAATAAGATGAATCGTATATCTCTTGCCTTTTGAAATATTGTGTTTCACTCCGCTGACATCAACTGACTGCCAACATTTTTTCAGCTTATATGATGAATGAATATAACTTCGTAGTTCTTCAGGCAGGTTTCTGTTGTCCATAATGATTTTCAAATATTGCTCCCGCTTTGCTGCTATGTGAGGTTTCTCAATTAGAGCTGATCTGTCCGTTTTACACTTCTTATATGAAAAACCCAGAGAATGTAATATCTTTCTGAGATGTTCACGGCTTCCATCATAACCCAAGTCCTCTCTAACTACCGGCAGTAAATTTCTCAATGTAGGCACCTGAAATATGATATTTTGTTATAAATCAGCTTTTTTAATTAATGAAATCTGGAGTAGTCTGTGTATAAACCATAAGTACCTGCTTTTAAACAGTGTAAAAGAAATGAACCTTTTGTCTAATTGCACACAAATCGAAATCATCCAAATCTTTACTCGGGCGACCTTTGCAATGTTTACCCGGTGTTGAAAAAATACCATTATTTTTTTTCACCTTCCTGAACAATTTTTCTTATTGTGTTGACAGATTTACCTAAAATAAGAACAGTATTTTATTATTAGATCCATGTTCAATAAACTACAAGTTTCTTGTCTTGAAGGTTGGCGTATACGAAACATGTCAAACTACAAAACATAACCTAAATTTTCAATTTATATAAATAACAATAAAAGTTACATAAATCTGGGTATCTACAAAACAACGCACCGAAAACATATTTAAGACCATATTTAAGGTATAATGTCTCGTTTAAGGTGCATAAATACCTGTCATATCAGCAGTTCTTTGATAAACACTTCCTATATCGGACAAAACTTGTCCCGCTTGAGATTCGGCCAAACACCGCAAATAAACGTGGTAAATCACTGATCTGCCACTACTACGAATAGTTTTCTTCATTTTAAATCGTTAGTTTTCTAGCGAAAGTTGATATATATTTTAAATCTTTGAAAAACACTTAGAAAAGACGCACTGTTGACAAAGAATGTACTAGCAGTTGACAAGTGAAGCAATGTTGCCTCAAACATCGCTTTTTAATTCCAACTGTCACCGCGTCAGACTCTTTTTTGCCAAGCTGTACATACCTATTAAAAATACTAAGTATCTAACATGGTAGGTAGGTACATCTATTAGGTAGCTATGTATTTTGTTCAAGTGGGACATACATTTTGTCACATAATGGAACGAATGACCGTTACGTTATTCAGTGTCATGTACGGGGAATGCTAATTTATTTACGTTTAAATAGGTAGGTAGTACCTACCTCTGCCACTTTCGCTCAACTCAATATGAAGTTAAATAAATTATTAAAGACGTTTGCGTAAAGGCCAAAAACCTCAACATATAAATAATTAATCAATAAACTATGTCTCATCATCATACGACAAATTTTAATTTACGAAAGTTCACGTTTGGTTTATGGTTATATCACGGAATATTATAATCGTTATAACCGATTATGTTAAACATATTCCTAGTGGCTTACCGGCCGGCCTAGTAGTAAAAAAAAACAATTTGGCAGTAAATTTAAATAGACATCTTCATAATATTTTACACCAACCTATTTTTCACTCCAAATTAAAGTGTGTACCATTTTCTAACCTATTTTTCATATGCGCATACGCATAGACTATACAATATATACGCATACGCGCATACCTACAGCAACATAGGTAAGTACCCTCACTTTTATTTGGAAATTTCGTAACAACAGTTCGTAAGAGCAGTTTTACACTAACAATTAAGTATTGATTTTATTAGTCAACTACGGTATAACTAAGTTTTACTTTGTCGTCCGTTAATTTTGGTGTGTGGTGACGTCATGGTGATGGTACCGCTGCAAGTTGTTTTGTCAAACAAACATGACTAAAGACTTGTTGATATGAGCCGCACGTCCCTGTTTTACTTAGTTAGGTACCTATATCACCTAGTTACATTCATTGGTGAATTGTTGTGGTTCGTGAGTAGTACCATATGCTATCCAAAACCAGTTTATCATAACCTTGCTTTGTATGATCATCATATTCAACGGTCAGTTTATCTAGATTTTTACAGAATTTTATCAGTGTGTACTTACTTTGAGTTTAGACAACTAACTACATTGCAATTTCTAGAATTTCGAACCCAAATCCTATAACTAAGACTCCGGCCATCCGTCTGTCTTTTTGTCACCAGGCCAGGCAGTATTTTTTTTCCAGTTACGGCTAAAACAACAAACAAGTAGAAATATAAAATAAAAGTTTTATGTTTCTACTTAATTTGGGTTAAATCGACTTAAGACTACGTATTTAAGCAAGGTTTCCATAAAGCATATGAGACTGTAGTCTCTCTCAAACGAAGGCTTCCGGCCGACTTGCACTTGGCCGGTATAGGGACGGTAATTACCTATTTTTTATTTGATTATATTTTTTTTCATATGTGTAGAACTAAAAATAATAGAATATTTTCATCGCAGATGGCGTTAGCGTAGTTTTTAGCCGAAGAAAACTAATTAGATATCCACCCAAGTACTTAGTACTAAAATACGATAATAGCTAGTCCGCGTCTTAGTACGTAGGTATTATTCCATCTAAGGTAAACCAGTTTTGTTAAGTATAATGGATATAATTGTAGTTGAGTGAGTAATGATGACCACTTGTACCTAGGTATTCAGTGTATGTTGGTTTCAGTTGGGTGTGGTAGCTTTATTTATTTTTATAGTTCATTGTGCTTAACATATCTGATAAACTGCAGTAAATTATGATATCAACCGAATTCTATCTAGGTAGTATCAGCTTGGGTAGGTACTTACCTAATAATTTTAATTTAAATCTTATGTAAAAAAATATAGGCAAAAGTATTTCCCAAAATATTTCATAGAAATAGATATCTAAGTAACTATCTATTATCAAATGTATGCCATAATTATCAATATATTTATTACCGTGTTTGATGCGAAGGTTTAAAAAGGTTAATAAAAATGCCACTATTAGTATAGGCATACGGCATCTAATTTATATTAGTTTTTATATTTAGTGACCTGTTCAGATAACAGGTACCTATTCGACATATTAGAGTGTTACATAATGATTGTCAGTTCTACTGTCTTGTTTTGTTGGTATTTAAGTACCTATTACGCCTTGACCTGTCCGTCTAAACTCTATGTAAAGCGTAAAATAATGCTAATTTTCTACAGATAGCAAGTCATGTAGTATGTTGAGGTAGACACATGTGTGCGCGAACTGAGTTGTGTGCAATAGAGTGGGACAAGCAAGGCCATATGTCCCCTTATTTCATTAGCAACCGTTAGCAACCAGTAGCGATACAAGAATAAATGTAGGTACCTAGACAGATACTCGCAGATATTACGGGAAGCATAAAACTGTGATTTATTGTATCCTTTCAAGATGGTTCTTACTTACCTAATACCTACGTCATGTGGGTAGGTACGTCTTTTAATCTACACGTGTATTTGGTGACCACTCCTAGTACTTCAATAAGCGACATTTTAAATTGTCAAATGTATTACAATGTAAAATCTATTATCCTCAAAAGGCTCAATGCGTCAGGAAAATAGGTTTAAGATGTTTCAAATACTCTGGATGTTTCCTTCATGCAAATACTTAGGTACGCATACTAAATACTTAGATACTTATACGTAGGTAGGTAGGTACCTACCCATTGAGAAATAAAAATAGAATATTATTTTATATCACACACAAACTTGTGTGTAAGAGGTTTGTATGTATTTCATAATTTGAGATATTTAGGTATAAGGTTAATTACATTTAGGTACAAGAAAGAACTGAATATGAGGTTAAACTAAATACTATACTTAATTAATACCTGGCACTTTTTACCGACCGTCATGGTACCGTCCTTGTACTAACATACGAATCTTATTCATA